TTACATTATTAACTGTTGATGTCTATGTTAAAGGACTAAATCTGATCTGTGACTACAGCACACTTAGTATTGCAAAGACACAAATTACTTCTGCTCCAAAGAACTGAAAAATAAGGTTTTTTTCTTTTTATATACTCTTCTATTTTAAAAAAGCAGATATTTGCATTTTCATAAATTGTTTGTGCACTGGAAGTTAGCAGTGGACCTAAAGCCTACCTGCTGGAAGTAAATTATTTAGGCAGACAGGCACTTAGCTACCTACATGCAAGGATTAATACCTGCAATTAATCCTGGTGCAATTACAGCCTGTGCAGACACAAATCTGGATCCCTAATCACTGGTGCTTTATCCATTGCACATTAAATAATTCACAGTTTCCTTTGCTTCCTTGGGAAGTTCATCCACAGGGTGCAAATCACACCATTTTTGCTCCTTGCTCACGGGTGAACAACAACAATAAAGTGCCTTACCATCCATTGATAATGGCTTCCAAGCAGTATGATGGGGTCAGTGCCTGGACTGCTTATGAGAGCAACTGCTTTCCTAATACTGGTACCAGACCAGGCCTAACAGGACAGCAAAGGTTGTTTTACACATGTCTCTGGAAGTTTTTATTTGCATGGATTTCATCTATCTAACTGCTGTTTCTCACTCCAGACATGGCAAACAGGACCCTTATTTCAGATGAATACAGTCTGCTCTGCTTACTCTAAGGCTAGCTTTCTATAGGGCTAGATTGTACAGGGGGAGATGAGGAGCTCAGAGGAAATATTTGACTTATCCATTGTTTGAGATGGCGCACCTTTTTTTTTAGCATACCTGCACTCAGGTAAGTCCAGAGCTTGCCAACCACAGCTGAACCCTTTGTCTAAAGGAGATTACACAAGGATAGCACAGAAGACTGCAAATTCTCTCCTTCCTTGAAGGAAAGATATTCTCAGCACTTCTGTGACAACCCCTTTTCAGATCCCACAGAGTGCCAATCAAAACAGCAAGTCCTCCAACAGCGACCAAAAGCAAAGGAGAGGGATGTAGAGCACCAGTTTGTTTCCATTTGTGCAAGGTGACGCACCAAAGACGTGGCTGATGCAAAGCACAAAGGAAAACCCAACTCAAACAGAATCTTCTCTTCTTCGTATTCTACACTTTTGTCCCCAAATTTCTAAACAGCAGCTTGCTCCCTCCAGCTGGGTGTGCCAGTGCCTACACCGACTATGCTGGATAAATTTCACATTGATTCAAAATGCAATTACATAATTCTGAGAAGAAAAATCCATCAGGAATTATCAAATCCAGAACAGTATCTGAAAAGCAAGTTGTTTGAGGCCAGAAGCAGACATAGGAGGAAGAACCATAACACTCGCACTGTTTTTACAGTTTTGGATGATTCTCCTACCATAATCGTTTTTTCCTCTCCTGCACTCTCCTGCAGTAGATCCTCCCTTAATGTGGACTGTGAACATTTTGACACAGGGACAGGCATCTGCACAGCCTCAGCACAACCAGGCCCTGCTCCTGTATCTGGATACCAGCACAATATTGTTAGTGGTATAAACTACCAATGCAGAAATGCAGACTCAAGTAATGTTCATAAACTCCATATCAAGTTCTTTTGAAGAATTATAATACTAAGACCAGTTATTCCTATGAAGAAATAGGAGTATCCATAGTTAAAATATGTTTAGAGTGTCACAGAAGCTTGAAGTAATAGCTTTATTAACATGGATTTAGAAAGAGCTTAGGGTTTTTCTTCTGGGTGCCCTCACTTACAATATCTTCAGGTCATCCACTTGTTTATTGCACATGCAAGCCCTCATTGTAGAAATTATCCTGAGCACAAATAAACTCCTTTCCAAACATTTCTCCAGAAAGATGTGTTATTTATAGACAAGTTGGTCAGCTCTGTGAGAGATGCAGCCTATGACAGGGTGCTCTGCTCCAAGGGGCTGCAGTCAGTGCCAAAGCTTCATTTAAAACGAGAACAAAAACATAAGTGCAGAGGTTAAAAACAAAGTCTGAACCTAGAAATAGACTTTTCTCAGAATACTGTGTGCTGCTGAGATAAGAGAAAATGGATTCTAAACAGAGAAGAAATGGGAACGTTAACAGAGTATCAGTGGATAGGCTTAGGAGGTTTATCAGATTTGGATAAAAGAGAGGATAGCTATCAACCCTCCACAAGCTCTCAGAGTTTAAACAGCTAACACATTTGTTCTCATCCACGAGGAAAACACCTGAATTTGAGAAGCAACCTCTCTGAAAATGCTCCCACTACAGCCATTCAGCAGTGCCTCCTGTTTCCTTCTTCAATGTGAATTTAATGCCTCTCAAAGGCGCTGAGTCAACAGATACTAGGACTGAAAGCTTCTGATGTTTGCACCCACCCAGGAAGCTCCAAGTTTGCCTGTCAGTGCTTTTCTGCCTGGTCCCCTGGCCAGAGAACAACCCATCCCACGTTCAGACACAGCAGCAAACCTCGGCAGATTGCTGATGTGGGGACAACATTCAGTCATAAGGAAATAAATGGAAGTCACTAATTCATTTCACATGAGTTATCCAAAAACCATCAGAAGATGTTAATTTGTCCTTGAATTAAATTTCCATTTTAAGAACCTGCACGTGCACTAAAAACATGGAAGATCAGCAAGACTAGAGATGCTGAAACATCCAGGAGGGAAACACTCAGCTATTTCTAAATCCATTAATAGCATCATTATGCTGAAATTATGTGGCATTCAGAACTTATTTACATTTATTTTGGGGGTTACCTAGAGCCTTCAAAAAAAAGAAGTTCAAAGCAAGTTCAAGTAAATTTTTATTATAAATAAAAGCCTCCATGAGACAACTCCTACTGGTGTAAGCAGCAGTAGCATTAGATTAGTGGAGGCAGCCACCAGTGTAAAAGCTGTTTTGTGCTATAGAGAGAACACTAAGAGTTTCATACAGAAAACAAACAAAAGACTTTAAAACTGCCAAAACATCATCAGCTTGAAGGACACAGGACCAGGGCTCTAAGCACATCACCAACTTACACATCATGGTAATTTATTACTTTGGAATTGTCCATGCAAACACACTCAGTTCCACATGAAACAGGAGACAACGTAAAGGCAACCTATGCCTTTTCCATGCGAGCCCGCCCAACTGGAACTACGCTGCACAGGCTCAGTGCAAGCACCTGTCACTGTTACCCCTGGACCCCTAGTCCTGTGCAATATGGAATGGAGATGCTTTGAAAAACTTTAGTCTAATCTGTAGTTAATCAAATTAGTGAGTCGCATCGAACCCTCACATTGAGCTTCACACATAACAAACCACACACTGGGTTTTGTTTAGCAAGAGTGAGGCCAACAGGTTGAGGGAAGTGGTTATTCTCCACTCGCTGGTACTTCTTAGGTCCTATCTGAAATACTACGTCCAGTTTTGTGCCACCCTGACAGTATAGGACATGCATATGCAACCTGGAGAGGGTCCAGTGGAAGTCCAGCAAGATGGATATGGTTCTGGAGCACATGATATAAGAGGAGGGGCTGAGGGAAATGAGTTTAGTTAACCTCGAGACGGTTAGAGGGAGATCTTTTTTCAATTTTCCAATACCTACATGGGTGATAGAGTGAAGCTGAAGACCAACTCTTCTCAGAAGTGCACAGCAAAAGGAGAAGAGGCAATGGGCACAAGATGTGACACAGGAAAAAGTGAAAAAAGGACAAAGGAAAAATATTTTTACAATGAGTGGCTAAACACTGCAACAGGTTGCTCAGACAGCAAAATCTTTGGTAAGACTAGATTTTGTTTGACAAAGCTGACTGCGAAGAAATAAATGTATCCACAGTGTTCTACTCAGAACCACAAAATGTTCACATAAACCACATTTCATTACACAACGTCAGTAAAAAATATGATGTGGATTATGAACTGTCTACGTATTAGAGTCCAAAATTCAGTTTTCAACTGAAGAAACATCAATGTGTACTTGCATGTAATCATTCAACCCTTTCACCAGTAATCTGGAAGTAAAAATAACATTGCTGATAGCACTTGTAACACCAGAAATATTGATAGATGGGTGAATACCTACACAGAGCATGAGACAGCTTCTTAATAGCCTGGGATTGTTTGCACGCAAAGAATTTAATAAAGACAAACAGAGTTATATAAGAACAGTATTAGAAAGGTGATTTTACTTCTGCACAGATTGGTAAAACTGATATTCCCAAAGTTCCCGTGGTCTGTATAAAAAGAAAGTTGGAAAATCAGCTAGGATACAGAAGGGAGCCACAAAAATGAGTCAAGCATTCATTCAAAAGAAAATACTTGACAACAAGAAGCATAAAGAACTAAACATGTTTGGTCTATCAAAAAGACAGTTTGAGAAATGGCTTGATTACACAGCGTAGGAGTTTTCACGGAGGGAAAACACTGTTAAAGAGCTCTTTCATTCAGCAGAGAAAGGCCTAGTAAAAGGCAATGGCCATTTAGGGACTGAATTTAAAACTGTTACAGTAAATAGTATATCATTCTCTCTCTGTCCAGTGAAACCAACAAGCTATTAATAAAGAAGTGTCCAGCCCTACCTATTACACCCCAGCAGAAGCTAGCCTTTTTCTGTAGGGTTACACTCTGCAGGAGGAAGGACATGGTGGTGAGCTGCTGAGCTACCACATAGGAAAGTTTGAAAATTGTTATTTAAGTCCCTACCACATCATCTAGGTACTAACCCTGATAATCATGTTCCACGCTAACTACATTCTGCTACAGTAGTAAATGAATACTTAATTATCCATAGAGTTCACTTTATATTCTCCAGCCAGCTCCAACTGGAGAATCCTTCTTTCCTCTCTTTTTCTAAAATTCACTACTTAGCATTGCAAATGCAGAGTGGATGAATTTGTTGGCAGGAAAAGTCAGCCCTTTACATGCAATTTGTAATAGTCACTCTAGGACTTTTATAGTCCTAAAGGGATATGTTGCATACATATTAAAGTATTCCTCTAACTCACCAGGAGTGCAACCAGCCTCATCAATACCACTTTCACAATCCTTCTGCCCATCACATCTCCAGGACGACGGGATACATTTGTTGCTTAAGTCTCCACAGCTAATTTTTTCTGCTGGACATACTTGCTTGGCTGGAAGAATAAAATAAAGAAAAAAGCCCAGGTTAAACATAGTTCTAGACATTTCTAACACTGTTTGTACTTTTAAAGTTACTTTCATTTTGTATGGCTCAATCCTGAGACATACTGTAACAAAGTCCCAAGTCAACACTAATTTTGAGGTATGGCTGCTTACATGTCCCGTATGTGTTCCCCAAAAGAGATCAAATAAAAAAAAGGGGGCCAAAAAATTTGCCACTGTTTATTTCAACAAAATCCAAGAAACGTAACTTTAAGCTCAAAGGAATTTGGGGAGAGGAACAGAAGTCCGACTCATACTCAGCTTCTCCTACCTAGCATTTCCTTGCAGTCAGGCTCTTGCTTCTGGCCATCCCAGTGATGCCGAGTTGCTGTAACCTGTGCATAGGCCCCGTGGCTCTTTACACACTCTCGGGGCCTGGTGGCCCTTTCCCACCTTCTCCTTGCTATCTCAAGTCTGTGCAAATCTGTGCATGGGCTAGAAGTGCTCAGCTTTGTGCTGCCACCTTCCTCTCTGCAACATGCTGGTGCCTCTTGAATCAGGTCTCCTGGCACAGGCTTCCTCAGCAAGAAGGACCTCCCCGTCCTTCCAGCCTGTGCCTGACCCAGCCAACCCCTTCCAGGAACAGAACTCTACAGGAACACGCAAAAAACCCCCAAATACCACCCCTCACTCTTATTTTCAAGCTTAACTCAACCAAAATGAACTGACAGAGTTGCTTCAGTAGATCAGCAGGGATTTCAACTAAGAACCTAGGGCTGGTTGTTAAGTGGAAGGACTGAAATGCTCAGCGCAGCAACAGCACTGCCTGTTTGTGATGGCCTCAAACCCCCAATGCACTGTGCTTTTGCTGTTAAAACACCAGCACCCTGCACACAGCAGCAGTAGTACTGGACAAATTACTCTGAAAATACTACCTCAAACAAAGTCGGGAAAAATAAGTTGCCTATTTTTAGTACAAGGGGTTACTTGTATGTTTGGTATCGCAAAGCAGTTTCTGATTTTAATGATCTAGGTAGATGATGGTCAGTCAATCTAGGGAAAAAGTGGCAAGCACAAGCACGAACTCACACATATTAAACAATATGTAACTGTAAGTGCCTCAATTAAAGGTGACTGTGATCAAAGACATGGAGACACAGGAAGATATGCAGAAACAAAAATCACAGTACATGCAAGAATGCAACTATGAAAAAAAAATCTGCCAAATTTATCTGGAACCAAGGAAGCTGTGAAGCTCGTTCTCTTGTAACTATTTTGCATTGCCAAAATTCCCTTTTTTTTCATACTAGTGTAAAGAGCAACAGATCTACATTTATTATGACAAGGCCGCTCAAATGTGTAACGTTCCACAGTTTGAACAATTGTTTAGTATTCTGGAATCATCAGTTTGGCAAGATTTGCTTATTAAATAGACCATTTTCTCTCTTTAAAAAATTACATGTTTTCAAATAGTTCTTCCATTGGTATTAATGATGATAATGCTATACATGGCCTGCACATCTACTGAAAAGGGAGGAACCTAAATTCTGAATTAAAACCATCTTTCACATTATCCTGCCCCAGTAAAGGTATTTATGCAAAGTCAATCAGCTTCCCAAGTACTGAGCAAGAGAGGATGAAAATGATACCTCTCCTCTTCCACCTGAACAAGAAGGCTGTAGAGAGGCATCTCATAGCCCCAAAGCATCGATCAGCCACTTAAAAAGCAGTGCCATTTAATCCCAGGACTTCTCTATCCTAGCACCTTGAAGTGCCAGAAGAAGCAGTTTCTAGAAGCTGTGGGCAATCAGTGTATCAAGAAAAATTAGGTCCTGCCACAGATGGACAGTTAATAAATGACATAATGAAGTTTTAGAACCCTGAGGCAAGACAGCATTTTTGTTGAAATTTGCTCGCTGCGTACCTAAATAACATTTATGAATGTTGCATGATCTACAGAGGGGAGTTAAAAAGGCATCATTACTTAAGCTTTTTGATTATTTTACCAGCAGGTCAGTAATAAAAATCACCTGACACTGCAAAGGCCCCGCAGCATCCCCAACGGGGATCAACATGTCTGCCAGCTTGGGCTGATGCCTTGCCACAGGCCAGGCCCTGTGTCCCAGATTTCCCCTGCGGCCATGGTCCCGCTAAGCTGCAGGTTTATCATGCACAGCTATGGGGACGCTTGGTGGAGCTGAGCACTCGTGGCCTTCCACAGAAGTCAGACAGCACGTCTGAAAACTGGGTCACTCGCCCACCACACAAAATGGCGTCATGCAAGGGGCTTGCCCTCACCCTCGCGGAAGCCGGCATGCCTCACCACGGCTGAGCCGCTGCCAACACCACCCCCATGGCTGTACGCCAGGGTGCACCATCCTTAAACGTGCCCAAGTAATTTATGGATACAGAATCACAGAATGTTCGGGGTTGGAAGGGACCTCTGTGGATCACCTAGTCCAACCCCCCTGCTGAAGAAGGGTCACCTACAGCAGGCTGCACAGGACTGCGTCCAGGCGGG